TCTTTCTTTCTTTCTTTCTTTCTTTCTTTCTTTCTTTCTTTCTGTCTGTCTGTCTGTCTGTCTGTCAATTGCTTATAAGATAATAGGCATAAGTAAAAACATAGTTATGAATACATGGATACGTATAAGAAAAATAAAAAATAAAAATAAAAGAAACAATAGGACAGGAACGGTAGGCACCTTGGTGCGCTTATGCTTATCCTGTCTCATACTTGTATCTTACAGCTTCCCTCTCCAGATGCAGACCTGTATGTTTTCCTAGTTAAATTCCATTTATTCTTTTCAGTTCAAGGTTCTCTAGATTTTTCTGACTTTTCTTTCTTCTGAGGGGTTAGTTGTCCCTCCCATCTATGCTTCAGCTTCAGCTTTGATAAATGTCCCCTTATCCAAGTGCTGATGAAACACACACACACACACACACACACACACACACACACACACCCCTCTATGAAAGAACCAGGGGTCAGGACAAGAGCATTCACTGCTTCCCTCCAAGCTGAAATGTAAGTAGTGATGGATTCTCTTTTAGGATAAACAGCTTCAAATAGGTGGAATAGAAGCAGTGTTATTGTGGTAACTAAAACTATGATAGTTACATCTACTTGTGTGTGGAACAAGAAGTTAGATGAGAAGCAAAAACCTGGAAGAAAAGAAAATCATGCATTAATTTGTCAATTTATATTTTGAATGCAGTAGAGGCAGGGAGTTGGGGAAGAAAGCAAGCCGTATGCTGAAGCCATCATTTCACAATTTGGGTTTCAATAGCTAATCAAGTGCATTTTTATGTATAAAGGATTTTTGGCAGTGTAGTTTTATGAGGTCTGGGTTTTTCTTGGTTTTGGTGCTTTGCTAGGTGTGTAGTACAAAGGATATAAGAAGCCCAACAATCCTCCAGAAAAGCTTTGGGAAAAGAAATGTCTTTATTACATTTTTTTAAAAAAATGAAATAGTGGTTCAAATATTGCTGTGTCTTGTTGATTATAGCATTCTGATAAAAAGGGATAGAAAATCCATTAATAATAATGGTATGGGGCTTGTTTCCTTAGAGAAGTTTCTTAATGCAGGGAAACACATCTTTCCAAAGGATGGAATGGGAAAAAAGATAACAATTCAAGGATTTTGAATTATTTCCCTCTATCTATCTGTGTTGTCACTAGGGATGTGCTGTGCTTTGGATCTGTAGTGAAAACACGCTTCAGGCACACATCTGCACCTGTCAGCACCTCCTTAAAAAGCTACATTTTCTTGGTTGGATGTTTCCAGGAAAATATGTGTTGGGTTTCAGGATGTCTGACAGTGCTGATTTGTGCCATGTCTTTAACATTTCACGACTCAGATGTTATTATTTACCCAACAAAATTAAAAATTGTTTTGCCGCATGGAGATTGGATAAGATTTCACTCTTGGTTAAAGTACACATTTTCAGGACTTCACCTATTAGAAACTTCTTAATATTCTCAAATAGAATGTAAAGATCATTAATGCTCAAAAGAGTTACCAAATGAAAGGGAGAAAAAGAAGAAAGGAAACATAACTAATTGAAAATAAAAATGAAACAGTATCTTTCAGGAGGACCTAGTGATCCCAGCCACCTCTATCTTCATTCGAAGCTATCAAAGAAAACTGGATAGGGGAGGAGGAATCATTCAATTAAGTTCATTACTTCTCTATAGACTGCTATTTGAGTGTTCATCATTTATTTAAGTTAATTAACATGATTCCATACCAGAGTCAAAAGAATTATCCCATTCCAGTATCCAGGGATGCAAAAAATGCTTAAGAGTAAAGAAAGAGAGAAAAAGAAATATTCTTCCTTGCCCTCTCTTCATCTTGTGGGTGTGTGTGCATGCACACACACACACACACACACACACACACGTGTACACACACTTTTTGTCTCTTGTAGACTGGCCATGCTGGAACTCTTTATGCTTCTCAACCACTCTTGAAGGTAAATTTGGTTAATATCATGGGCTCTTATCTCCTAATATTCCAAAGAATTGGAATAGGAAGATAAGTTAAGGTAGTAGAAGATATATATGATAAGATACTAGAAAGATAATAATTATTATTTGAACTTTTATGAGCAGTTTTGGAGAAAATATGCAAGGTACCGCTTCCAGAAGAAACTAAGAAAAGTCAGATTTCCATGTTTATAGTTGTGAAATTTAAGGGTCTTGGAAATGTGTGTTGTTGTCCATAAAACATGAAGTATTTCTAGATACGTCTTATACATAGTTATGTTGACCTTTGAAGATAAGCCTTCAACGAGTTTTGAAATATCTCAGAAGATTTAAGGATTCTTAAAATGTTTTTTTTAAAGGATTGATTTTTCTTTTTATGGATGGTGTATTCAAGACCCTTGTTAAAAAGCATATCAACAGCTGATTTGTGGATATATGTAAGCTCTGGATCAAAGTTAAAAAATCTGGTTTGAAAAAGTAGACCAAAATATTATTTTGGATTGCTTTCTCTTTCAAATGCAAAAATGTTATTGTAGTTAGACCGCTTTTCTGCTACTATTAACCAGATAGACTAAAATTTGGTCCTGTTCCCCCCCACCCACCCAAGTGGTTGGACATGCTGGCAGCCTTTGGATATTTGAGGTAAAATTCTGGCTTAATAAGCTATTTAATCCTTTGCAGTTTTGAGTCAGTAGTGTATATTAGGGCCAACTAGGGTTATCATATGTGGGCTTCAAAAATCTGGATAAACTCTATATGTCAGCAACTCCTAGCTCTTTTCTGCCATCTTTTCTGCCAGATTTCATAGTCCATATGTGATAGCCCTAGGGAAACAGTAATGAAGTGACTGTTCATAATGAAGTTAGTGAATGAAAATTTACTTTTCTATTGAAGAATGATATTCAAGGCAGCATATAGTAAGAATGCAATTGCTAAAAACAAAAGAAAAAAAATGAAAGTTCAATTAAAAAAAACTAAAAGTGCAATTTAAAAAAGCAAAATGACAGGCTAAAGTCTTGTCTCTATTAAAAAAAAAAACGCCAAGAAAGAATTCTGCTAGATAGACAATTAGCTGGAGTTCAAACATTGAGAAAATGTGATTATATTCACCTCAAATTTTTGGTTCACTTCATTTAATTCAAATGTCAGACTAAAGCAGTGTTTTCTTCAGAGGTATTCAATAAGTAGGCTAGTAAGAATAGAATTTAAAAAGGAGAATGCAGCCCTCTAAATAGCGTAGCTAATTTGTTTGACCATATGCAATCTTTTGCAGGTCTCTGATATCTTTGTAGAATTTGTACAGCTTTCTTGAATTGCAATGGGGAAAAAAAGATATGTGTACTGGCAGCTAAGTATGAAGTCCCAACATTTTTGGTAGCCTCTTCCAGTTGCATATCCATTTGAAATCCAAGAGTAGATCAGACCTGGCCATATTACAGTTCCCAGGTCACATCTAGCTTTTTCACTGTCCCTATCCGGCCTACAGTGATTGCTTTTATTTTGAAGGTGACTGCTATTCCCCCCCCCCCAATTTACTTATGTTTGTGTACACATGCCTCACAGCTTCACAGACCTATTGGTTTGGTT